GTCGCCGTCCCGTTCCCTCTGCCGCAGGTTGTTCTGGCAGGAAAGGGCTGAAGCCTGAGGGAGATTTCCGGAGGACGGGGAAACAGTCACTTTTACCGCTAAGGGGTTTGCGCTTGGCGGTGCTGAGGGGACCTTCCGGGGCTGAGGTAATGAGGGAATTTAACCGCCAGATGTCACCGTCCTTCTTCCGCCCCTGCACTGCTCAGGAACGGGGAGGTTTCCAATTTAATTGACAGTGGTTTAACCCGGTCTGTAGTGCCGTTGAGGATGCAAAAATCGGCTGGGGGGGCGCAAGAACCTGTCGGATGGTGTGCTGGTGGCTTATCGGTACCCTGCAAGGCAGCCCGAACAGCTGCACTCCTAATTTTGTTTTTTTTTCCACACAAGTAGGGGATTTGGGAGACCGTAAAGGTATGATGGGAGACAGGAGAGTGAGGTGGGCCCTCAGTACACCATCCTGTGTCCACAGTGAGCTGCACTCCCAGTCGTGGCAAATCACAAGGACGTGTTTTCAGATTCTGTGAAAAATTTCCATTAGAGAAACAAAAGCGAGTAAAGGTTACTGATCTACTGATAGCACTTTTTTTTTTTTTTTTTTAACCTACATGAGTAGTGATATAAAGGCTTGATTACTTTGGCAAGACTTGAGTGTATAAAATAATCCATCCCCTTTGTTCCTGAAATCTTTAGTTCAAATGTAATTCACAGGTGAAATGCTATTTATTACAGATTAGTCATGTTACTGTGGCTCCATGAGAGCCCTGTGTAAACAGTCACAGACATGAGAACTGCAAGTAGCAGAGAGCACTGCATAGGAGGTCTGCAAGGCACAGAGGAAGCTGTATAGCAAGAGAAGCTTTTAGAAAAAGAAGCAAAAAAACCCCACCACAAATAATAATAAAAAAAAAATAACAAAAAGCAAGGCCAAGTGTGGGAAGCAAGGGAAAAGAGGAAGAAACAGTTTTATAATTAATTAACAGGCAGCTTGCAGAGTCAATACAGGAATGGGAGTTGTGTTGACTACACAGTTACCAGCTGAGTGGTGGGACAAGAGGATATGGGGCTGCAGGAGTACAGTGCCAGTGTCACTGGGATAAGAAGGGAGATCAGTCCTTCAATATTTGCTTGTGTCTGAGCAAGCAAGGTTAATGAATGAGCAGCTTAGTCCAGCCAAGCCAGAGCACTATGGCTTTTAAATTTGACCAGAACCAGTACAACCCTTTGATTTTGGAGACCTGACTTGTATTTGCTGAAAATTTTACTTTGGCTATACAACTATTTTTGCTTTTGGACTGGGGACTTGAAATCTGGCTAGACATTTGCAGGTTATTAGAGACATGGTGTTTTCTGTTTGCACAAAAAGCAGCCACAGCATAGCCTTCAAAAACATCAGTCTATACGTGTTCGGTAAGGAATTGCGTGTGCTTGCTGAACAGCCCTAGAAATCTGGCCGGAACCACTGGGTAAGGAGATGGCAAGAAGAGGGCTTGTAACCACCTGAGCAAGGATTCCTGAGGAGCTGCCTGTTATACACACATTGCCCACAAATCTTGAGAAGATGAAGGTGTTGCATCACAGGCTGATTCTGTTAATTCAGCCCCAGCCCACTGTCTCACCTCTGGAGTTAATTTCTCATTCACCTAGTATGTGCATTGAATGGCAGCAACTCTCCTACTTAGCTCTGTGAAACACTGCTAACTCCTCAGTTACCAGTTTAGTGCAAAAGCATTGCAAGTATTGTGTGGGAGAGGTGAAGGTCTCTGACTTTGCAGGTTAGCAGAGCTTTGTAAGTTACAAAGCCACGCCCAAGAAAAACCTCAGCTCTTCTCCCTTGCCCCCTTTTATGTGCTTTTTGCTAAAAATAGCCCCTGAGTTCTGAAGTATTTCATGCCATCACAAGACTGACTGCGGCAGGAGCCAAAAACACATCAATCGTAATAAAATGGCTAGGCTGCCATTAGTACCCATAGCTGCACTCCGGATCTTACAGTCACAGTGGTGGTTTCACATATTCTTTGGAGGATTGTCTGGGACCCACACAGATCTCAGCACAGGAGGTACTGTCTGGGAAGTGGGCCTGCCGAGCAAGGAATGAATCGGCCCATCTCCCATGTGGCAGCTAAGAAAGGTCTTTTGAGGTGCCTTCAGCTGACTTGAAAGCTGCAGAGCAAGGGCTTTGTCTCCTTCCAGGTTTGCTGTGGGTCTGTTAAAATGCCTTGGAGCCACAAACAGACTGTTTTGTTTGTTTGTTTTCATGAGAATTTCCTGGCATTGTACCATGCCTTATGGCATGCCCCTTGGCTTTCTGGATGTGAAATGAGTTTATTGACACAAAACAAATGCAAAGGTGTCAGCGTCTGGTAGCAAAAGATGTGCATCCACTATTTCCTCTAGCATCTGGGATGCATTCTGTAACTACTGATGACATCTTGAAATACAATATAGTGGGTCTACAGTGCTGACACCAGATCTTCCTGGGGCCCAGCTTGGATGTTGCTAGCTTGGGAGACTTGTGGCACAGTGCACTGCATAATATGATGCTGAGCAGATTAGCTGTGTCCAGTTTCCACCATCTTAACTTTCTGCAGCATTGCGTAATTAAGAAAGGAAGGAGGTTTATGGAGCCATTTTGGATATAGACAATGTTTAGTTATCAAGGAAGGAGATGGAGGGTCATATTGCCTTTCCAGAGCATTGCCTTCTCTCTGGAGAGGACCATGGCTGCTTTTAAAATTACAGAAACGCTTCCCTGATGTAATCCTCTAATTACCTGAAACTTGGGTTAGATTTGGTTCTTCATGGTCCTGAGATAGAATTTTAAGCTGCAGTTCTTACCGCTCTGGGCCTGCAGATAAAGGGTGGAGCTCCCAGTCTTGGGAGTAACTCGAAGCCAAAATGCCATTGCCTTCAAGTAGCCATCACAGAATCACAGACCAGTCTAGGTTGAAAAGGACTCTGGAGGTGTCTAGTGTAACCCCTTTGCCTAAGGAGGGACAAATTCAAAGTTAGATTGGATTGGTAAGTGCCTTCTCCTGTCAGATTTTGAAAATCTCCGGGGATGGAGATGCTTGGGGCAGCCTTGAAAATCCCAGAAAGCTGCTAATCAATGCCCTGAGACGTCTGACAAAAGTAGAAAAAACCACAGTACAAGCATGGAGAGCCATCAATGTGGCAAAGAGGAAATAATCACAGAACCAAAATGATGTGTATAGGTACTATTCGCCCCAATGCTGTTGGAGAACAATTAATAGAAGTGCACTGAAACCTGCGTTTAATATGCTGCAGTGATGTGATCAAAGAGAATCAGCAATACAGTACCAGTATTGTATCACTAGTGTCTGCCAGCCCGCAGATGGTGTCTTTGCTGCTGTTCATAGGCACTAGGTTCAATGCATTTGTGATATACAGACAATGCCTACATATAAGCCTAGTCCTAATAGTCAGATACTTAGTTTTAAAAAATATGTGCCAACCTGAGAGATTTGACAGATAGAAGAGACATAGAAGGAAAAATAAATACCTGAGCTAAACTTGAGTCCTTATGGTGCCATCAATATTTTTTAAGTAGGGTTGTTAATCTTGATATGTAATTGTGAATACAAAAAAATGCAGATCCTATCACTCATGTCTTCAAACCAAAATTTTTAAACTTCCTTTTCTCTGTAGCAGCACAGCTTCCTCTTGACCCCAGTCCTGAGCTTGTGAGGTTGGGCAGTACTGGGAAATTCCAATTCTGAAGGCCTTCATTTCTCCAACACTAGTCAAAAACATGGTTTTATTATTCATGATTTCCATCCAAAATTAACAATCCTGCATCCCCCTATCACTTCAGCTCTTACTCTTAGCACCGTTTTCCCTAGGCTCCCTTCCCTCCATGTCCCCCACAAGCTTTGTTTTTCAGTGCAACAAGCCTGCTCTCAGGGCTTGCATTCTTGCCCTATGCCACCATGGGACAGCCAGTGACTGGAAAGAATTATGGAGGGGTAAGAAAGCACCTTGGAGGGTGGAGCAGCACACACTTAATTTTAAACTACCATTCATTAAACTGCTAATTGGAAAATCAGTTGTTGGTGACCTTCCTATTTAAGCTCAAATAGACTGTGTGTTGCTGATGCCTACCCATCCCCTTCTTACCTCCCCATTCCTTGAACAGGGCTCTCCCAGTTGTCTTCCTTTTGCCCCAGGAAGCCCTACCTTATTTCCTGTCTCCCTGTATTGAGGGCAATTGTTCAACTGCACTAAATTTGCAGAGTAAGAAAAAAGATTGATCTGCTTCTGATGCCCCTTCACTGTAGCCTCAGTGTTTGTCCATCTTGAAATAAATGGCTCTTTATCACATCTCTGGGAGGCAGAGCAGTATCATCTGTGTTTTACTGGAGTTAAAATGCACAGTCCAAGAACTGCACTGGGCAGGAGGCATATGGAAAAAGCAGACCCTGATGTTGAATAACCTAACTACAAGTTGCCAGTCTTTATCTCAAGACCATCCTTCCTGATCACCTACAGAGAACTAGTGACTGCTCTGCTCTTTCATACACCCAAAGACTTCTCAAATGCCATGTCTTCTGATGTCTGTAGCTCATAAGATGGGTGTGCATCTGTATATCGTATCATGTAATGTTGTGTACTCCTCAAAGTACAGCGCTCTGCAAAGTTCTTGAATGATACTGTGGTTACTTTCTCAGCTCGTGACCAGTTATGGTAAAGAAAACTGGCTGGTGAATTGCAGGCAAAGCTGCGCAGCTGCACTTGCTGTGTTAAGTCACAGCTTTGTGACGGAGAGGTAGAATTCACACCTGGAGGAGTGGGGAGGAAGGCAAGTGTAAATACCTTTTCCTCAGTGCATGGAGGAAGTAGACAGGGCTGTGCCCTATATATGATGAGGTTGAATTGCACAGCCCAAGACTGTGCAACAAGCTTTTCCATGCAGGCAAATCTCTAATCTTTATCATAAGAGCATCTTCTCTGATGGTCTGTCTCGGAATCTGCTTGGGTTTGGCTTTAACATTTTTAAAAAAATACAGTTTTATAATTTTCAGCTTGGCCTGTATGATACTGAAGGTGCAAGGTTTGAATTTGGACTGTCTCATCTGTCAAGGAAGTTGGTGGGAGGTTTGTGGGTTGTAGGAAGGAAGAGTTTCAAGCAGCCGTTGGATCAGTTCTGTAAATATCTGGTTGGCTAAAGAGCATGCTTGGTTTAGAAAGTGTGAAACCCTTTGTAGAAACCTTTTCATATTATTACCCAGCAGAGGAAGCAGAGCTCAACGGAATCAAATCCTATTTAGGATTTGTGAACCATTTGTTCAGACTTATGTGCTGGCACCTCACGTTAGAAATAGAAAATAATCTGTGGTTTCTTCTCCCGTTATTTGTGAACCATTTGTTCAGACTTATGTGCTGGCACCTCACATTAAAAACAGAAAATAATCTGTGGTTTCTTCTCCCGTTATAGAACATGAAGAATTTGGAATGGGCTTTGCTCAGAAGTGAGATTGAAATTGCTATGTTTATCAAGGCAAATGGAAAAGACTGATTTAAAACAATAAAAGTGATGCATTCTAAGAAAAAGAAAAAAAAAAGATTAGATAATTAGCATTTGTCGTGGTTTGGGCTCTCAAACCAGGAGAGCATTTCTGAGTAACAGAGAGGCAGAAAAAGCAATTGTTCACCCAACATCCACGGAGACTTGCAGTTGGCTATCTATAAGAGAGTCGGCTGTCCATACGAGGATTAGATCACTTCTCCAACAGTGGCTGCCATTTTCTCATGGATTTTTCTCTGTATTATTTTCAGATTTTTTATTTTAAAAGTTGCTTCCTCTTCTGAATTTTTAGCCTTCAGAAGTTCCTCTGAAGTTTTCACTTTGTTCTGATGACACATGCGATAAGTACTGACTGCTAACAAAATTCAGAGAAAAATGTGACCAGAGCGCCTAACCAAGGTGGGTTTCCTTTTCCTGTAGTCAGAAATTGTCCTCGTGGAGACACGTGCTAGCCACAGTAACTGCTATCTGGCTAATGCTAGCAGAGTAGCAGCACATTTGAATCACCTGAATTTTGCAGCTGGACGTGATCAGTTATGGACATGAAATGCTTGCTGGGTTGGACAGCCAACTAAGCCAACTTCAAAGTCAACTTGGTTAACTTCATGGCTGAGTTTCCAAGTTAACTTGGTGAATGAGTTTCTATGCTGCTTTCAATCTGACACAGACATATTTGCCATGCAGAGGGAATGTGTACCAAGAAAACAGCATTTCACACCTACTCCACACAGCTCTTGGTGCCCCCTGAGTCTGCAGAGTAGTGGAGCAGCAGGCCTGCTGCCGTGGACATGTCTCAGTAGGCAGGTGAAACGGCTTGTGCACCCGTTATCGCAGGCATGATTTACATTGAACAGAAATGTCGGATTGCATGAATGACACTTGAAAGCATCCTCTTTTCCTGAGGGAGGGAATAAATTAATGGATTTAACGGAAGAAAGATAATGCTACTGTCATGGAGTTTTTGGCAGTGAGCCACTGGGGGGTTTTCTCGGCCTTTTTTATGAAGGGGTTCCCTTTATAGGCATCCTGTGGGAAGAAGTGTCTCTGGACACATTCAGGTGGCAGAAAGATAGAATTCCCAACAACCATAATCCCGTCTTCCTCTAGGGAACCCTTGAGCTTGGAGGTCCTGAAAAAGAGGCACTGGAAATCAGTGGCTCGTTGAGAACTCTTTTCTCTAGTGTAGGCTATCATTAAGAATTCTGGGCTGCCTACCTATATTTGTTCAAAGCTCACCCCTGTGACAGCCACATGCTGTAATCTCTTGGCCTCACTATGGCAAAGATGTTTTTCTCCAGGTCAAGAGACCAGCCTGGGTGCAATGGGAAGCTGAAATTGTCACATGCAGTGTACGGGTGAGGAATGAGTCAGCCCAGGAATAAGCAGTGCTGGTGCGGTGCTGCAACAAATCACCTGCTCTCCTGTGATAGATCAGCACCAAAACCATAACAGGCAGTAGAGAAATAAAAACTCTTATTCCCAGATTAAAAAATAACATAGACGGGATTTTTGTCTGCTGTGATACTTCTTCCTGTTATAGTTGGGGACATTTGATAGCAGTATTACAAGAGGGAAGATTATGGTAAAAATGGTCTGTGTGGGACCCCCTACAATATGTAACTGAGTTATGGGGCAGGAATTTTATCATTACCTTTTAACATTACTATTAGCTTCTTAACATTAAAGTATACATAGTCCAAGTAGGAATCCCAAAGCCATCAATTTTGGCTTTAGTGCTACAGGAAAATATAGATTTCGATTTCTAAGCAAAAGGCTGAAGAGATACAATCCCATTAAAAACAAACAAACAAACAAACAAACCAAAAAAAACCAACCCAACACCAAAACAGAGTTCTTAGCTTTATTTTAGGTGTCAAAATTGTGGAGCACAGTCTCATCCTACAGAGTGGTTCAGTCCCAACAAAAACAGTGTTTTGGGTGACAAACAGGATGCCCCATCTTCCCTAATACTAGCTGTTGAACTCCAATCAATGCAGGGCATGCAGTCCTCCATTTACAGCGGGTCCAAAGAAGAAGACTGCAAATCCTGTTTCATCAAACTAGATACAGCGTAAGAAACTCTGTAGAGTCAAGTGCACCTGAAAGAAGAAAGACAAGTGTCTGTGTTGTAAAGAAGTCAATGTCAAATACAAAGTGTGGGCAGTAACACTCCAAGCTACTAGTTATTATAAAGTTGGTGGAATTCCACCCGTTAATATTTTTGCCATGGGTTTGTACCAGCAATCTCAGTGTTGCATCTTGTGCCTGGGGTATACAGGTAGCAATCATGGAGAAAAATACAGAAGAAAGATCTTAAGTAAAGAAATGGTTCTGTTCTGTGACTATGTCCAGTGAAGAGCTTTCTTGGGCTATGTTGCAGCAGATATTAAAGAAGGTGTCCATGGTAGTAACAATTCTCTTGTGCATCATCGTTAAGTGGCTAGCAGTTGTTCTTCCTGAGGTGTGAAGGATTCATGATCTCTTTAGTTTTTGCAGTTCCTAGAAAGAGATGCTTTTCAGATAGCAGCTTTGAGAGGAGGTCTAACAGGTGAGAAAGCTTCTTCCCTGAGACCTTGCATATAGAGGCAGCAAAAATCAATGTACTGACAATGCCTTTTTTCAGAGAATGTAAGCAAATTACCAAAAATATCCCTAACATCATAGCTTGTGACTTGCTTTGGTGAGGTGTGGGGAAAAATGGCTTATTTTGTCTTGTTATTTTACCTTAACCTGCCTTCAAATTTCCTTCCAAAGTAGCTGACAGCCCATACAAGAGATGTGCAGACCCCTTGCTGAAATCCTATAAAGTCAAGGACCTCTGTCCATGGAATTTTCATCCTAGAGGCTTTCCATAGTTACAGCTGTGAATGGAGGTTGTCACTGGACTTTATGAACTGTGTATTTTCTCTTTTAGATTGAGAGATGCTTCTTTCTTTTATTCTGATTCTCTGCATACGCAGAGACTAAAACAAGGAGGGTGTGTATGGGACTGAGACTAGATGGGCATTGGTGGGGCTTATTGCGATAATAACCAGCACAGATATGAAGGAAAAATGTGGAAGAAGTGGAAGAGGAAGACAAACTGTCTGGCTGAGAGAAGTGGGTCTGTGGATGGAGAGGATAGAGGAGAGGACAGAAACGAAATCGGGACTTTGGCAGCAAGTCCACAAGGATAGGTTGGGTTTGGTTCAATTAAAACATAAAGAACAGGATGAGGTGAGGAATGCAGGCTGGGAATGGGGAAGCAATGAAAATGAGGCAGAGATGAGGAGTCAGGAGCAGAGAAGAGGAAGTTCTGAGTCAGGGTTGTCTGTGGTGGGATGGAGCAGAAAGACCTAAGCTTTGGAGGGGAGCAAGCATGAAGGCCTATGCCTGCTCAAAAACACTTCCTTTGAAGGCTCAGATGGAGCCTAAAATCCCCAGCTTTACTGTCAGTAAAAGTAAGTGTCAGCCCTAGATTATAGAGACCTACATTCAAGGTATCTAAATGTGGCATCAACATGTAAGGTGGGAGTCTAAGCTCCTGCCACAATCAGAGAAGATTTTAGGGAAGGATTCAGCTGCCTAAATATCTGGACTGCATCCACTTTTGATGCCTTAGAAAATTCCTGAAGGTGCCCTAAGATACCCAGATGACTGCAGACACCTGCTTTCAGGCAACTGTGTTCCACCTGCACTCAACTCAGTCCCAGGAGTCCAGAGAGACACTCAAATGCAGACTGTGCAGAAGATGAGACACAGGCTCACATAAATGCTTGCACACAGATTACTAAATATAAGTGTCTATGTCTGCAGTCTGCACCTGAGTCCCAGTCCAAATGTTTGAGAAACCTGCAGGCATGTTATTTCTCTCAGCCTTCGCTAATGTTTGGCCATAGCATTGATGACAATGTGCTTTTGCTGTCCTAATTCAAGTGGCAGAGAACAAGAGTTTGCAACAGTGCACAGCAATGGGAAGGAAGCACAGGAGCGTGTTGCTCCACGAAAGACAACTTTGTCCTTCTGTTGGCTCTTTCAAATCCTAGAAATTCAGACACAGCTATACATCCAAAGCCCAGGTGCCCTGCTAGGGAAGCTGTGCTGGGGAGCGCCAGAACTAAAACTTTCTCCTTTGCTGCACAAGCTTGGTTCCTCCCCAGAGCAGGTGCATCCTTGTGGGGAAGAACAGAGTGCATCATATGACTGAAAACAACAGCAGGATGCAGACATAAGGAACTTAATTCAAGCTGCACCAATAGCCTTAATTCCAGCATTGCCCTAATTCCAGCAATGGCTTGGATCTTCTGCTTTAGTACTGCTTTTTTCCTTTCTTTCAGTCTTACATGCCATGCATGTTTAGAGTGTTTTCAAGAAATTTAATTAGAAAATTTGATGTGTGAAGCAAGTGATGCAATACTGATGATGGAGCAACCTGTGGAGAACAGGAGGCTTGCTGTCATCATTCATCTCTTGTGCCAAAATCCAGCTCCAGATGACCCAGCTATAAATGGGTATTTGATCTTTCTGCCTAAGGAGTCAAATACAGCTTTAACAAAGGCACTCAGATAATTCACTTGTTGGATATAACAGTTAAAGGGCCTTACTCTTGGAGGTCAGGATAGTTGGGCTGGACACTTGAATGTGATACAGTGGGCTGGTAGCATGATAAAGCTGTTTTCTAAGCTGAAGGCAAATGAGTAAGTGCTAATGCAAAACACTCTGCTTTCTGTATCTTTCTCAGCTTGAGGCCTCCTAAGTGCTTATATAGAAGAGAAATCCCTTGTGTGAAGGGACGTGGCATGAAAATAATGCTGGCTGAAAAGGCAAGTCTTAAGAAATGGAGGAAGACAAAAATTACCTTTCATGAGGGAGTAAATCTCTTTTGGGGTCCTTTTACATTCAAATTTCATTTAATCATGGTGCTTCCTAGACTTGAAGAAATGCAAGAGTAAAATGAGGGGGACTGGGCCACCCTTTTATACAACTCCTTCACCTTACCCCTTGTTTGTTAACAATGTGTAGAGCTCCTCTCTGTTATGCGCATCTTCCTTTTTTCTCCCTCTATTGAAGTGCCTTAAAAGAAATTCCAAATGGACTTTCTTATCCAGGAGCTGGGAGATTTAGGCTTATCTGTATAGACTATTTAGAGCTCAGGTAAGCTTTCTGATTGTCATGTCTGCCTTAGGACACCTTGAACCTAAAGAGAGTTTCCTCATCCTTGGTGAAGTGACCGTGCTTATTCTCCCTGGGTTTTCTGGTGTGGTTAGAGGACAGGAAAGGAGCAATTCCTCTTCTTGGGACCCTCAGCCTTGTCACAGTCAAAAAGAATGAGTCACCATAGAAGTAGCCGTGTTGTTGTTTGAGAACATTTTGAAGTTCATGTTTTCTGTTCTGTGGCTTCTGAGCCTTTCCACTGCATGTGGATTATCTCTTCACATTCATTCTGCCGTAAGGGCAAGATGCTTGTGTTTTTTACAAAGGAAGTGTCTGTCATTCCCACTCGTCACAGGACAAGAGGCAACAGGCACAAATTAAAACATCTGGAATTCCATTTGAATGCAAGGAGACAGTTTTTCGCTGTGAGAGTGGTCAAACATGGGAACAGGTTGCTCAGAGATGTTGCAGAATCCCCATCTGTGGAAATACTCAAAAGCCGTCTGGACATGGTCCTGAGCAACCTGCTGTAGCTGACCCTGCCTGAGCAGGGGGTTGGACAAGGAGGATCTCAAGCCTCACCTGTTCCGTGATTCTGTGACTTGGGAGCTGCAGATACCAGAAAATGGCAAATGCTTTTTGCAGCTTGCAGCAGAA